TTGGACATTGTTTCGTTCTGCTGTGCATGGGGTCGCTATGAGTCGGTTCCGACTCGATGGCACCTGACAACAACAACAATGGTACTCCCATGATTCCACCAATTTAAGTTGTTTTCCCTTTTCCCCATTAAATTATCATTCTTTGTAAATATGCATATATATCCATTGAATAGTTGTAACCATAGCACAAACTTTCATATTGTGATTATCCTATGCACTGCTAAGGAATCCTGATGTGGCACCATAGGATAAGCACTTGACCTCAAGGTTGGTTTGAATTGCAGGGTCAGTGGTTCAAACTCATCAGCTGCTCCTTGAAAACCCTATATTGGGTCACTATAAGTCAAAACTGACTCAACAGCACTTTAACAACAACATGCACTGGTAAAAACTGCAAGATATATGGGTGGCACTTAACTGAGGCTTAACCAGTATTCATTTCCTTAACAATTTCTCTCAGTTGAAGTCATACCAAGATTTTCCCACAAATCATCAGTCTTCATTACAGGCAATCCTGGACTTACAAAGTATTAAAGTATTTGAGCTATGGCACTTACAACTGGCTAGATTTTTTCATCTTATCATTAGTAATCATATATGTATGAGAATTTAGCTTTAAATTTATAATGTCATGATTCCAGCCCCTGAAAACAAAGAGCAGATCTATAAAGATACTGACAATAAAATTTATAATGATGGGGAAAAAAAAAAAAGACTTACATCAGAAACAACTTACTAAAGAGTCATCAAAATATAACTCTGCTGTAAACTGGGGCCTGCTTGTATTTTTCACCAATAAAATTATATCAATAACAATGAATGTAAAGATATAATCAATCTTTATATTCAACGTTATTGGTGTAATTTAATTTATTTGCTATCTAATACATGGGGCATTTAAATTCTATCTGCTTTTCTAGAATATTGACATTACTGCAAGGCATATCTTCATGTTCTACTACTGCATTTAAAGTTCTTATTTAAATGAGGAATCACTGAAGGAAGACTGAAAATTAAAAATGATAGCAACACTGAAATATTCCTCCTCTGCTAGATACCTTGTTTCAGACACTGAAACAAACAAAAAATTTAATCTTTTTTATTGAAAAGTTTATTATATTATCTTTATACTTCTTACATGAAATAATAATTAGGAACTAAATGCTTTAACAACAAAAACTAAGACTAACCAAAATAACTAAATGACACTAAAATTAAAATTTACATTAGTATGGGATATTTTTCATATTTCAAAATGAAAAACAATCCTAACCTGCTGGTTCTTTCATAAACTTAAGGAAAAAATAAATAAGCACTGTCTAGAAATAAGCACTGTCAAGAACATGTAAAGGAGCCCTAACGTGGTGCTGTAGGATAAGCACTGGACCATAAGGTTGGCTTGAACATTCAAAGTCAGCAGTTCAAACTCCTGAACCACTCTTCATAAACCTATACAGGGTTGCTATATGAGTCGGAATTGACTACACAGCACTTGGTAATACCAACAAGAAAATATAAAAGGATATTCACTACGCAAAGGGAGGGGGGCTACAAAGGCAAGAAGAGACTGGCTTACAAGCTTTCAAGGGGGAACCTAGATCCAGAGAGCATGGAGGAAGGTAGAATCTCCACTGAGTAGTATCCAATCTGTCTATACAAGCTTTCAAGGGGGAACCTAGATCCAAAGGGCATAGAGGAAGGTAGAATCTCCACTGAGTAGTATCCAATCTGTCTAGGCAGGGCTGATGAAAGGAAATGCGGATGGGTCTTTTGTGATACAATGGTGAATAATTGTTATCAGGACTGATGGTGAGGGTTGGAAATGTAAAGGTAGACATTTTGTAGCAAGGAGGGGAGTGATTAACTTTGCAGTCTAGGAGCAGAGGTCCCTGGGACCATCAAGGGAGAAGAGCAGAGAGCAGGACCCTACCCAGAGAAGCAGT